ATACAGGGTGAGAATGGTTTATTTCAAGTCACGGGCATTTCTCTAGTTACGGAGTTTTAATAAATCTCTCTAATAAGAAAGGCGAATATAATGTATACCATTTCAGTGGAAAGTGTAAGAAATTGGCTAATAAGAAATATAGAAGATATGGTTATAATGTTAGGTCTTAATTTTATGATGATGATATGATATTATTTGCTATATATATTAAACAAGTAAATATTATAATATTATGTATGGCATGTTAAATAAAAATAATTAATTATATAACAATAAGTTATAATTGTAAAATTATAATATTATGTAATATTATAATTATATATATATATATATATATTTATTTATTTAATAATATATAAAAATTATATAAACAAATAATATAAAAAATTTCTACCTGTTGATAGCAACATGCCGTGTCTACCCTCAAATCAAGCTTTGCGCCATGTCATGTTCATTCCATTAAAGCAACAATAGATTATTCATAAATAATTCAATTCGTCTTAAACGAAATCTACACCTCCGGCGGCAAAGGTCAATACAGGCACTGAGAAATCAATCTTCCGATGCAAGATTTGGTTTACATTTAAGGCAAGAACGGAGAAAGAATCGAGCTATACATGCGCTTTGTTTGGATCGGAATACTCTCAAATGGTAGGTCCGTTTCCTGAGCTTCCGAGAAAATGCCCACAGAGAAAGCTTATCCGACGCCTCGAAGTTCCGCTTACCTCAACGCGCTCACACAGGAAATCCAGAAGAAGCTTCAGCCGGTTCGTTTCTCTCAGCTCTTTACTCTCAAATTTACTGTGAGCAATCCGTTTGTTTTCTAAGAAAGTGAAGGAAAGACGGAAGGATTTTCTTTCTTTTTTTAGATTCGTGTTTTCCTTCTTCTGAAGAAATTTAGTTTTAAAGCTATTTTTGTATAATATTTTGAGCGTTATCAATTTTGTTATTCCATAATGAGCTAGGCGACAACACCGAGAGGAAATAACTTTGAATTCCGATGTAGTGATCAGTTTTTATTTTATTTTATTTTTTTTCCGATGAATCTCCGATGTAGCGACCACTGGATTAGTTAGGAAGTTGATTGATTAAGATCTTGAAAGTGCATTTCTGGTAATTTTTCAGATTGTAGCAATGCTATATTTGTTTTCAAAAAGCAAACCCGCAATTGCTTTCTCAATTCTCCCTCAGTTTGGTATTAATGTGTTCACAGATTTGTCGCAGGCGTTACAATCTCCATCGCAAAGACGCAATATATTGCAAGAGTTGTTTGCTGATATAGCACTGGAAGTGGATGATCGAGCCAAAGGTATGCTCGGACCAAGTCTGTTTTTGCATTTGATGCTCAATTGCGTGCTGAAAACTAGGGCATATAAATGAACAAAGCTAGCTTTAAAAAGTTGATTTTCTTATTGAAATGAAATTATAATTTGTTCTACTGGAGGACATCTAGAATCATTGGATATTGTAACTTTCAGGCTTTTCAGATTTAATAGCCAGTTCTAGGTGCGAGAAATGGTTATCATGCATGTAGTTCTCTGTGAGTGTTCTCAGTTTTTTTTTCTTTGGTTTTGTTATTATGAGCAGGGATAATTCTCTGCATAGAAGAAGATGCAATATCTCCTGCAGAGGATGATATTGATGGTCCACTGTGCTTTTATGATGTACTTGCTGATCACTACGTTAGGGTGCCTGAGAGTGGAAGACCAATCCTTGATTTGATTGTCCAACTGTGGAGCCAGTCATTTGCCTCACATATATTTTCCCTTTTGTTCCACAAATGGGTACAAACATTACTTTTAATTCATTGCTTTCTTGTTGTTTCATTTTTTGATTTCACTTCCATGCGTTGTATTTAAGTCCATTAGTGCTACTCTGTTTTAATGAGTTTTCTCTCAAAGACATTACTATTTTTCCTGTTTGATATCATCATTTTCATAGTTTTGACCTGACTCTTCTTGAATAGAACTTGAAACTAGAGAGATATCTGCTTTTCTTCCATAGAGCTGGTCCAGATAGAATTTCATCTGTTTGCCTGTTATTTGTTCTCTTATAAGAGTATAAAGTATTGGAGCTGTCAGCTGAAGGAACAGTTATTGGTAGCCCTTACCAGTTTGTAATTTGTGAGTTCCAAGTTGGAGAGGAGGGGAGAGAGAGACAGAAGAACATCATGGAAATGATGATATCATCAGGATTCTAAGATCAAGAAAAAATTTTATTTCAATGTGCCATCCCCTTGCTGGCTGAAGATGTACATTTTACCATTTAGGAGTAATAGATTGCTTGCTTGATGTTACTTTGATTCCTCAGCTAAGGCATTTTAATATGTAAGCAATTGATTTTACTTCGAAGCCTCAGCTAAGGCACTCCAATACATTAAGCAGTTGATGTTATGTATCTTTTGTGCAGTTGTTTGAAGTCCAACTGGACAATGCAGATGTACTCCTTCGGTATTCATCCGCACTAGTTCAAGGTGCAAGAAATGTTTTCTGGTATGAGTATTAGGCAAAAACAATATCTTAATGTGCTTGAGTGGCAATTCTGTTGGTTTGGTTTCTAATAGCTTTTGAAGTTGAATCAGCAGTTTCATTATAGCTTATGCTTATGCAAATGTATTACGAATGAAGTCACTCTTTCCTTTTTCATTGAAAATTTAATATTTTCATGTTTTACATCCTTATCATATGTCTTTCAGATGAATTAGAAGCTACTTGTCTCTTGAAAATAAATCTGTCAAAGCAACTAACACTTGAGTATGAAAATGTAACAAAATAAAATATTGGAAGTTCTTTATATAGAATGATTTAAGTCTTATCATTCAACATGGATTTTCAAACTTCTGGCTGACTGCTTAGCTTCTTCTTTCTTTCAATTTTCTTCATGTTTCCATCCTAAAAGGCTAAAACATAAAACCCTTATGCATGCATACACTCTTTTAGAACTTTTGCTTAAGATTGATATCCTTTTTTGTACCTTTTTGTTATATTTGGCTGGTTGCTTGCAGTCTCTTTGTCAACATAAGATGTGACTTACTGTGAGCTAAAAATTTATTTCACACCTTGTAATAAATCCTTCTAAGCGAACAGGTTGCAATTGGAAAGCCTTGAGAACCACTTTTGACAACTTTCTTGCTTGTTTTATGAGTAACAAAATCTAAATGAGAGTGAAAAGAAACTTTTTCAATTTGTCGAGATCTTTATGTTTAAGACAGTATTTTGTATACCCTAATCCTAAAATTTCAGTGCATGTTCTCCTGTTGATGTGTTTAGTTGTATTTGCAGGATCGATATCCAGACAAATACTAGGCATTTTCAGTCCCTTTTTCAGGTAAAAACCCCTACAAACTTATAAAGTTATTTATCCATCTACATCTTCATTGATTGGAGAATTTCTTACCCTATGATTTCTCTTGCTGGATCCAGTACCTTCTTGAAGATGTTGTAATGGAGCCCATGAGGTTAAATAAAATTCCAGTACAGGTCAGCATGTTTACTGTCATTTTGAGTTTCATGCGCTGATATCTTATGTCATGTGGGTGTGGTCAGAGGGAACATAGTGCTGATATCGAGATGATTAGAGTAGTGTAGTTGGCATTTTACAGTCAAGTACTTGTTGACTTTCAAATTTTAATTGACTTGCCAATCCTTCATAATTCCAGGTCCAGCAAGATCTTTATCTTTTACTTTCAAGGTTCATATTCTTTTACAATGCAGGTAGGATATTTAACTTTAAACAATTGGTTTGAACAAAATAATAAATAAATTTTCTTCCATTGATATCTTCTTCTATAAAGTTGACAAGCTTGAGAGCTTCCTTAAGCACTGTCCTGCTTTTCCAAATGCTTTCCTTGTTGGGAGACCGGCAGACATATTTGTTATCGAACTTGCCGACCAGGTAGGGTAATTTTTGTTCATTGTTGTGGCACATATATATGCTCTAATAACAATTTTATATTAGTCCTTCTTGAAGAAAATGGACTGCATTTGCTATTGGTGTATTCACATTATTTCGGCCTTGTTTTTGCCCTTTTAATCCAGCTTCAGAAGTTAAAAGTGGAGCCAGTCCTCCTTCATTACCTTTCACAGATTAAGTTGCTCCAGGGTATTTTTCTCATCAACCATTTAGTGGGTTAAGGTGCTTATTAGAGTTTTGAATTGGGTTAATTATCTAAATGCAATTAACTCTTGCAGGCATTGAACTTAGAATGGCCACAAGCACGAGGTTGAAGACCTGTTTGTATAGCTTCACTTCTCCTGGCGGTCCAATGTATCCTACAAGAGCTGTTCGTCATGCAGCCTGGGATGCCTTGGATTTTCTTTTTCCTGTGAGTACTTTTATTTTCATCATCTTAATCTTTCGTATCTCTTGTGAGTTGTGAGTTTTTCATTTCTAGTACTTCAGTAATTTCAGTTAAGAATTGTTAATTAAATTTAAAATAAATAAATAATGATATATCTTCATAGTGCAATATAGTCTAGTATCATAATGAATAGAATCTTCCACGATAGGTGTTTTTTGTTCCATTTCCTTCCCATTCTAGCGACAAGGATCTAACTGCTAAATAGCAGGTTATTTAACTTTACACCAATACATGTGGCATCTTATACCTTAACCGGATTAAATTTGCCATGTTTATACCAGAGTGGACTGCCATTATTGTGAAGCTTACTCTATATTCCATGATTGCATGATTAGTGACTACATTTTTGTCAAAAATCTTTCTTGAATCTAGACTAATGCATAAATTGGCAGAAGAAAGAAATTTCTTATATCACTCCCTTGAGAGTTTCCCTAACCATATAGAGAACGACAATGGCTTGACATGATCTACGTTAACCTCTGCAGGTTGGGCGTTATCCCCGGCACATGATAAGTTTGTTTTTCCGACTGCTATACCCATGGTATTGGCCATTCTCTTGTTGGAATTTTGTAATATCTTGCATAAAGGCAGTGTTCTATTCGCTGTTGAGGATTATCATTTCTAGATGGGAGAAGATGAGATAGCCGAAGAGTTACTAAGCCTTGACTGTCCAAAGGTGCTGAAGGTTTATTCTGTATTTATGCGCGTGCTTTTGCTCTTCCCTTCTTAGTCCTTGGTATTTCGATTATAAAGGGTGCCTGTTTGTAACAATGCTGCTAGATCTCGATTTGGAAACCTCGTATGAAGCCAATGCACACTATTTTCTCGAGATCACATAAAAGAAAATGCATGGGTCATAGAAAACCTCAGGATTCACCACACTATTGAGGATCGAGGAATCACAAACGGATCATGTAATATGATCAATAGTTAGTTTACTCGACATAGGTTGGAATTTAAATCTTTCAAAAAGAAAAACGAGTTTGATGATTTGTAAAACAAGTGAAAATCTGAATGTTGATCTAAAAACTTTCATTTTCAAAATGAAAAATTGGTTACGTTCGTCTGATTTTTAGTTTGCAGGTTAAGCCATAAAGGCGTCTGATGGTGAGGCGCTGAGGTAAATGTGAAAAATAACAAAAACTAGGACCAGTTCATGATAAACGCACTGAACAATCAACCGTTTGTCTGCGGTTCTCATCTGCAATTCGGCTATAAGCTGTGCTTCAGGGACATTTTTTCAATATTTTCCAAAATCCAACCAATTGCTTTAGTGATTAACTTGCGAAATTTTTATGGAGTAACTTACAAAACATGCTTCGAAATGATCTACCTCATCAATCATGTCAGCATTATCGTGCTGACTGATTTGCAAAGATCTAGTGGGAAGCACTGGAAGTAAAAATACCATGCGTTGAACGAATAATTTGCAAAACATGCTTAAAAGAACGCAGAAATCACAACTCACGTCCGGCCACACAATGGTTCAAGATTATCACTGAAGTAAGACCATCAAGCATCACAATAGACCAAAAGGAATACAATTCTCTGCACTATTAATTTTATATATATATATATATATATATATATATTCAACAGACAACATAGTTTAATTGTAAGAATTTGGATGTAAGAAAATAGGAATTACTAACACATAAAACCATGCTTTCCAGGGAACCATACAAATTAGCCACCCTAAAAAAAAACTAAAATTCAATCAATTCCATGGTGCAGAAACCAGCTATACTAGGGCCCTATCCTAAGCCAGACACGTATACAGCATCCAGATAAGAAGGTGCAATTCATTTTCCTGTGTTAAAATCAGTGTTGTCAATAGCGTCCACTATGGCTTCAAAAGGACCATTTTTGCTATGCCTAATACCTTCAAAGAAAAAGGTGGTATTAACCATCTTTTCATCCTGAAAGAGATTAGAAAATTTTCCGAAAACTGCTCGAGTTAATGAGCAATGATGCTTGAAGTTAAAAAACCAGAGATGCTCCCACAAGGCTGCATATCAGCAAGCAAAATCATATAATCAAGCACCCATCTCTCCAACATTTTCAATCTTAGTAGTCAAACTGAATGCAGGACCCTAATCATATGGTCATAGCATTCACCTTAATCTTTAACCATGTAAAATAGTTCAGCCTTTTCAAGATAGAACTATTAATGCATGACTGCACATTCGACCTGATGGTACACGCATTGTACCACAGAAAGTAGATAGCCATTTGCTGAAACCTTTTGCAGTTTCTGCAAAACTTGAAGTACAGACTTCAGAACCACTGTTGTGCATGTCTCATAATACCACCTTCACTAGAACACAAGCTCCCTTACCAAGCTCACGTATGCCAAATTGCACTGTCTTCAACAGGTCATTGTCCACCATCAAACCATCAGGTTCAAAGTGAAGCAGAGAGATTCTACATAGGCTACACAAGCAGCAACACTAAATAATCAAGGGAACAAATGTTACAATTCCAAAGACATTAGAGTGTGAATTGACATTTCTAAGTGCCTAACCAACAGAAGCAACTGTATCATCAACACCACAGAAGAAAGAATTCTTAACAGCCGAAAATGTCCACAAGTTGAAAGAACAAGAAATCTACCTCAATTGCGGTCACCCTGGTTTTTAATGCAGGAGCAACCTAAAGACATTTCAGCTCTGGGCATATTCGGCAAAGATCCAATCCTCCCATAGCTTGCAGCCAAAGTTCCCTTTACATATGAGAAACCGAGAGAACCACTTCTGACTATCATTCCCCAACTTGTGGAAAAATACAGAGGTTTAAATAAGCTAATGAAACCAAAAGCACAAGAGCAGATTATAAACTGACGGCTTTCCAGTCACTGACATTGTTTATACCCAAGTCAAACGAACAATCAACAATAAAAGCCCAAAAGCCATAAGACTCTTAACAGTTTCTCTCTATGAGAATTTCTCTAAGGAGGATGATTTGGTAGAGATACACAAAATAGTGAGGGATGTCAACTCAACGATCAAGTAAAATCATATAAGGTCTCAAAGCCAACAAATAGCACAAGGTGAATCTTCAATTTTTCTCCATTGCTTCAGAATGATACTTCTCTAGATCAGCATCAAGATCTTCTGCAGATACTTTTTCACCACGGACCTTCCCCCGTCCACGCCCTCTTCCAAATCTACGACCTCCAGCACCACGTTGTTGCCCAAAGTTGCTTCCCCTGCCTTGTCCACTGCACAATAACCAGTATATTATTACCACCCAATTCCATCAGCAACCAACTACTTTCGGCTGACTAACAATAACTCCAAGAAATTTATTGAAACAATCTAGAAGTATGGATATGCTGACAAAGAAATTTTAAAAATGTATGATGAAAAATTCTTGCATGTTAAGAGAGACATTATTCCTTAACACATAGGATCAATCATATTGGAATAACTAGAACATCCAAGTCAAAGAACACGTGCCAAGCAGATGCATACAATGGTAGCATAGGTGAGAATCCTGGACGATCATAATGTAATTCAAAGAACATATAACAAACAGCATGCCTGCTTAACAAACACCATTCCTTTTGGTGAATTTCTAAAAGGAATCACCTAAATGCTCAATTTTGAATAGGTTGAAGCATAAGTAAATGGAAGATGAGACACATACCCTCTGGGAACTTCAATTAAGTTTCCAAAAGTGCCATCAGCGGCAAGAGTCACAGCAGGAGTCACAGCAGGAGTCGCAAGATTTGTTCCCACGATCTCAATTTTCATTGGCTTTCCATCAAGCTGAACATTGTTGTATCTCTTGACAGCATTAACAGCATCTACTCGTCGTGAGAAGACTACTTCTGCCGTTCCCTATGAAAAAGAGCTTTTCTAAACCACAGCAGGACACAAAAACTCACCAGAAGTAATAATTTAAGCCAAACTTGGTTAGATACCTTCGATCTCCCACTCCTATCATAATGAATTGCATATCGTTTCAGGTCACCAACCTCGGAGAACAGTTCCTTCAGATGAGTAAGGTAACATTAACAAAAATCAGAACTGTGCTGTAACAGCAGCTTTATCGAAACTATAGACACATCATTATCCTACATAATCTAAACATGGTGATGGTGTTTAGATTTACGAAGCAGCAATAATCTATCCATTATATATATGGCATATGCAAGATGAAATCTCAGGAAGAAAACAATGAATACCCAGAAACAAAAAACACACCTTGATATCCTCGTTTGACACCCCATAATCTAAATTAGATATGTAGAGCTTTGTTCCAGTTTCTATAGCAGAAGTACGACCTGCTTGAGCCGGGAACGCGGCTGCCTGACTCACAAACATATCATGCTGCCAAATCGTTTCCGGGGCCTAGACACGAATCATAAGCATATTAGTTCAATACAAATCAACCCCGCAACACCCAAAAACAATCTCTCGCATGAGATGTTGAAAGCTATAGATGTACCTTGGCGGCGGCGTATGGTGCCGCACGATTGACCCCACGGTTAGGGAGGCGGCGAGCTGGTCCAGGCCCCGATCCACGGCCCCGGCCACGAAAATTGCCGGATCCAGACTTCCTGTTGCGTTTTATGAGATCGTCAAGAGATACATCTAAAGCACTCGACATTCTGCTTTATCTTTTGAGTCCCTCAAAGAAGAAGAATATAACTTAAACACAGAGAGAAGAGAGAGATCTGATCCAGCCGAAGGAGGAAAACTAGGGTTCTTGGAGGAAAAAGATCTACGCGTGAAATTAAAACGGGTTAAAAAATGTGGAGGGGCGAGATGCCGAGGAAGAAGGTCTACATGAAAACTTTCCTTTATTTTGATTAAAACTTCGAAACGTGGACAAAATGGTGTCGTGGTGTAGTTGGTTATCACGTCAGTCTAACACACTGAAGGTCTCCGGTTCGAGTCCGGGCGACGCCATGTTTTTGTTTTTGACTTCAGAATTTCTCCATCCTTATTCCTTGCAGCATTGTAAGACCTCAAGTTTCAGAATCACAGTGAATGGTCTCTACAATTATTACCATTTTAACTCCATCAAATAAATGGAGCTTTGGCTAGAGAAATCAAGTTTAACACATAAATTATAGACTGCATATTCGAATAATCTAATCTCACATGTCACTTTTTTTTTTATGGGCTATCTATCACATGCCACTTTCATTTGGCTAAGCATGTCAAAATCTAGGAGGTCACCCTTGGAGAAGGTGAAGTGTCTCGCCTCGAACACAAGTTTACTATAAGGACAAGGCAGAGCTCAATGCTCTCCCATGTTGCATGGCAATTACAATAAGAACGTCCTTATTTGATTGTTTGTCCTTACTCCATTGTTTGTTTTTATCTAATTCTTCGTCTTCAAGGGATCTGCTCTGTCAGAACACACCACGCTCATTTAATGTGGCTACTTTGTTAAGACACGTTACATTTACCTAAGGCATTTGTTCCGTCAAACACATCATATCGCGATTATTATGTTAAGTCACGTTGACGCCTTGTCAAGATATACAAATACTTCCATGCACTGCTCCAAAAAGGTATGATGAAAAACCAATCAGAAACTCTTTTAATGTTTTTCGGAAAAGCGTAAATCAAATTATTGCTAATTTAAGCATTGAAGTGTTTACCTCGAGGACTACCCTTGGGGCTTTATAGGTCAATTCAAAGAGAAGATTGTAACAAAAGAGATCTTGAAGGTTTGTTGCATCTACATTTACCACTCTTAATGTAAAGCCAGAACCATAAGTATTGAACCCCACATTCCAGCCAGAGCAACAACCTGAGAGGCAAGATTACAGACACTCTTGATGTTGTCTATCATGAACTCATTGGCTTTCTGCTGCTCTAGACTAGATAGCCATCCTTTGGACCCTCCAAAAATAACCGCAATCATGTCTCCAGAAACAGAGGTATATCATTTCATCACTATGTACACGTTATCAAACTCCAAATCTTTCTCTTTTTCTTATCAAGAAGATACATGACAAATAATAATAAAAATAATAATAATTAAAAAGGTCAATCCCTCTATTTACACTTTTTACATTATTATT